CTACAAACCTTGGAGAAAGCGGTTCTCAAATCCCCAAATGCTATTGGTTAATATTGATCACGTGCCCACAGTTTCACTCCCCTTTATTTCTTATTGTAATTTTCGCGCGTATTTACAAAACCGTTACATGCGATACAATGTACAGCGGACACCATGTGAAAATAGCCTGCAAAACAGGCGCGTCGAAGGGCGAAAATATTTATACGAAATGTCGAAAATATTAATACGAAAGTTATGGGATTTAAAAGTATTTCAAAACAGTGTTTTAGTGTTTATATGCAAATTAGCAAACCAAAGGAGGCAAATACTATCTATAGTCACAGATTTTACAGACATATAACAGGTACGCAAGTCTCGAAAAGAATACTGCTGTGCTCCCTTGGCTTAACTGGACTTTTCCTAGTTGTGTTTCTTTCTTTAAAGTCCTGGGCAAACTACAATCACTTTCAGAAGTTGTTGGGACACATGTAGTTTTGGCTTGTAAGTGGATCATTATAGTTTTTTACACATAGTACCGCTGCCCTCCCCCTCCCTCCACCCCAATCAATGTTGTTTAAACCAGAACACATCAAACCCGACGAGAAATGGGACACAACATTGAACAGGGGGCGGGTGGGATTGCAACCTCGTACCCAGGATCTTTCAGATGACAGAAGGAGAGACCCTGGGAACGAGGTTGGTGGGATTGTAGTTTGTTGATATTCAAAGTTTTTCTGGCATCTGTCCCAAGACTTTTGAAACTGATTGTCTGAAAGGCAGTGAAAAGCATATTTAACCTCTTTGAATTACCGAATGTTTTAGAATATCAGTTTTGCAAAAATCGTATAGCATTTAGTTGAACATATTTACTGAATTGCACTGGCATATATAATGCTTTTATACTGCGCTTGTTGTGGTTAATATATTTGAAATGTAACATAATCCAGCAGACGGAACAGTATATTATAAATGAGCTTATAAAAAGATGTGATATGTGGGGAGGGACGTATGCTGAGAGATTAAACCTGCTCTATATGCAAGGGATAAAACACATCTATCTGGTTAATTATCAACCTAGGTTATTGCTGAATAAAATTCAAGGGTAAGTTATCGAAAACCACTTAAAGATTGTGCATATTTGACATGAAAATATTTATGTAATATAAAATGGTTTTAACACGTGCTCGATTGTCACTCGGTTGTCACTTTGAAACGCATAGCATTTTCACTGATATAACTTTCAATTGTCGCGGGATAATAATTTTCAGAATATTTTAATATTAAAAGTACTAAGCAGAAGTGTTTAGGAAGCGCATATTGATATATTACTGGTTCTACTTAATCACAAAGTATATAAATTGTATAAAATGTATTGATTGACACTCAACTCTAGAAATATCACTATGATATATCAGATTATTTATGTCGAAAAGTGTCAATCGATCCAAAACTTGGCTCAATCAATTTCAAACCCTTTCATTAATAGCAAATACATTGTTAGACATTCTCAACAAATTATTCTTAGCCTTGTTTTGATTTAAAAGCTGCCTAGTTGCCCATTATTTCATATTTCTATAGTGACAATCGAAGTGACAACCGATGTTAGTTTCATTGTATTCGTCTGGCCGGAAACACTTATTAACATAATTAGCGTATAACACTAACTTTGTGTTGTATAATGCGTACAACGCCGTATACAGCGAGTCCCTTTCGTTACATATTTTTGGAAGCCTGTGCAACTTTCTTGCTTCGACGGGTCGCGCGCGCTAGTACTTGCTAACTCGTCAGCATTATAGGGAGGTTTATAACCCTGGAGAAATCACGAAGTCCGGGTCATTCTTTACCACGTACGAATACGCTGAATAGTAATTTTTGGGATTGTCTGACTGAGTTCAATTAAATGCCGAATTTTCTCTTCTCGAGCTTTCCGATAGCTCGCCAACTTGATCTTGCGGACAATTTTTTAGCCATGTGGAAGTGACTATATATACCATATGATACCGCCCTTTCCATTAGCCCCCGAAATTCCCACCCACTGAGTGCTCCTTCGTCCTTCGTACCCATGCGTCGACAATTATATCTGCAAATTCTGCTCTGGAAAGATGCGAAATGTCACATTCACTATTGGTGATAAAAATCAAACGTTCTTTACCTTCGGAGTACCCGAATTAGCAGTTGACTCAGGCCTTACCCGCATGCGAAAGTAACCAGATGTTATATTACTATGCTATAAATTAACAGTATGTGTGACATATCTAGCGTAAAACATTTGCGATACCTATCTTTATTGACGGACTATAACCTCTCAAATAACCTACTAGTGCTCTGCCAAAATTTGTAGAAGCAAACAACGTATAAATTCTTTGTGATTAAGAATGCATTATGATATAACAAATTATATTCATTTTCTGTTAATTATTAACTTTGAGAATTTTAATGAAACTTAATTGTTCTATAATGTCATTAGATGTTCTGTGAACGAAATGAAGCTGAAATACTTCGTTCGCAGAGCATTCTATTCCCTGTACTTTCGAGTTGTGCAATGTTGTTATGGCATATGGGGCCCAGACAATCACTTTCAGAAGTTGTTGGGACACATGTAGTTTTGGCTTGTAAGTGGATCATTATAGTTTTTTACACATAGTACCGCTGCCCTCCCCCTCCCTCCACCCCAATCAATGTTGTTTAAACCAAAACACATCAAACCCGACGAGAAATGGGACACAACATTGAACAGGGGGCGGGTGGGATTGTAGTTTGTTGATATTCAAAGTTTTTGTGGCATCTGTCCCAAGACTTTTGAAACTGATTGTAGGAGGCATTGTTGCGGAAACAATGTTTCGTGCCAATGTTTCGCCATGTTTCCCAGAGTCGGCAAACAAACACTAGGATAAATTAGTGAGAAACATGGGGAAACATCAAATGTTTCTGAATTCGCTAGGAAACATTTTTGTTTCTCGGGAAGCAAATTTTAATTTGTTTCCGCAACAATGTTTCCACGGGTGGGCAAACAGGGAAACATTTGATGAAACATCAAGAATCATAACTGCCTCTATGCAGTTTAATTTATTAGTATGGCTACAGTCGCTTCGCCACTTAACCAAGTCAACAGCAAAATGTAAATTGATTTTCAAAACAGTCTATGTATCCACGATAAAAATATTTAACTTTATGAATGAGCACAGACAGAACCTAATAATAATCAAAGGCCGTTGAGGCCGACTCAGGGATGAGATACTTAGTTCTTGGAGTTATCAAAGACATGAACTTTAATGCGTCAAAGTGCAAAGTTCTGTCCATAACACGCAAGGTCAATCCATTGCATTTTCAGTACCATATGGATTCTACCAAGTTACTTCGAGTAAACGAAGAAAAAGATCTCGGGTTGATCATTACTGAGAATTTGTCATGCGAATCACATCTTACCTGCATTTGTGCGAAGGCTAACAAATTACTCGGTCTATTAATAAAGCGAACATCTATTTCAATTAGTGACAGTAGTGTTCGAAAAACTCTATTTGACGTTGGTTAGGTCCAAGTTAAGTTATGCGACTGACGTTAATTTGGTCTCCAGCGAGTTCCTTATACTGAAACAAAAGGCTGAGAAGATTCAGAGACGTGCTACGAGATGGATCTTGCGCGTCAAAGTCGGTGAACTATCCTACAGAGAGAGACTTCAGCAACCGGATATGCTCCCTCTTGCGTACGATCGCGAGGTCAAAGACTTAGTATTTTTTTATAAGGCTGTGAACTGATATATCGACATTGATGTCTCAAATTTTGTTAACACGTAGTCGTAGAGCATTGAGATCCAAATACTTAGAAACTCCGTTGTGTAAAACTTGTATGTACAGTTCGTCGTATTTTAATCGTGTTGTCATATTATGGAACAGTGTTTGTGTCTCGATTGATCCTTCCAGTTTCACATCACGTCTTTCAAACTATACCTTAGGATGAGGTATAAGAATATTCTGGAAACAGTATTTGATCCAGACATGACTTGCATCTGGTCACTTAAACGTGATTGTGGTTGTCACAAATAATAAACTAACTTAATTAACTAATCAAATTAATGTGCATGCATAATATTAATATTTATTAATTAAGTAAATATGTTATGCAGGGTGCCGCAAAGGTGACCAAAGCTGTTGAGATGGCGTGTTGTTTGGGGATTGAATAGCCTTATCACTCTGCTAAACCCATAAGTGCATAAAAGCTTGACAAAAGTAAATTTTATGAATAAAGAAACTGTTTAAGAAGTTGCTTTAAATTCCAAAGAGCAGAAAATCGTGAGCTTACAAAGATATTTTAATTTCTTCAATACTCGTATTATATGCATCATGTCGATCATATTTTACGCATCTTTACGTGTTGAGGCGTTCGGATTCTAGCAGTGCTTTGTTTCAGTGGTTTGGGTTTTTTTGGGACACCCTGTACAGTATACTGTGAATTAAAAGGTCTATGTTAGGAAGAGGATAGGCACCATGCAATGGACTTTACGTCCAGTTTGTGCCTTGTGCGTTTGAGTGCAGCTTATTTTTAATTGTATGTTAGATGAATATTTGTTCAATTAATTTGTACTCAATAAAGTTTAACAAACAAACAAACAAACAAACAAACAAACAAACAAACAAACAAACAAACAAACAAACAAACAAACAAACAAACAAACAAACAAACAAACAAACAAACAAACAAACAAACAAACAAACAAACAAACAAACAAACAAACAAAACAAACAAACAAACAAAACAAACAAACAAACAAACAAACAAAACCAAACAAACAAAACAAACAAACAAACAAACAAACAAACAAACAAACAAACAAACAAACAAACAAACAAACAAACAAACAAACAAACAAACAAACAAACAAGCAAGCAAGCAAGCAAGCAAGCAAGCAAGCAAGCAAGCAAGCAAGCAAGCAAGCAAGCAAGCAAGCAAGCAAGCAAGCAAGCAAACAAACAAACAACCGTGAGTCAAAAACTATGAGACAAACCATTCAATAGAAAGGTTTCGTGCGATAATGACATTTAGATTATATGCTCAATTACATCAAATGTGTTTTATTAAAATGTTTAGTTTCAGACTCCGTTTACACTAGAGCGAAAGATTTCGGATTCGCAAAAGTTTCCGGATTTCATTGGAATTTGAGTTTTCGGATTTGTGGCGTTTACACTAAAGCGGTAACAAGAAAGTTATCGGATTCGTCCGTTTACACACAATCGGAATTTTCTCATTCTTGTTGTGCGTCTTTCAAGCAGAGGTCGAAGATCATCGCAGAGTTTTTCGAAGTTACAAAGCGACATCCGAAAGTTATCTTTCCAATCGCTATCTAAACAAACACCGTTTAGCATATTGTCCCACCAAGAAGATGTTCTCCCTGGTTTTATCCAAAATCGTCGAGGTCTTCGGTTTTGCCACTTTCTTCGTTTTCGTACCAGTTTTGCAGAAATTAAAATATCATTCTGCAATAACTTTCGCCTTCTTAAAAATATACCAGTGGCCATTACAAAATTTACAATACTTCCTTGTAATAAAATTAAACAACAAACCAAAGACAACAAAACAATAACGTTCCCCATGTTGGTTCTATGGTAAAACCGCAAACTCGTGGATTAATTCAAATTTCTTGCGGATTAATCTTGCGGATTAATTCAAATTTCTGTTTAGAACCATTTACACATAGAATTGTCTCGGATTAAAATGTTTCCGGATACAAAGTTTCTACTTTTTTTCCCGGATTCAAGGTTTTCGGATACATTCTACAACCTAGATGATTTTCCACCGGATTCGTCGCTGTATGTGTAAACACATGTATGAATCCGATGCCAAAACGTTTCGGTCTTGTGATGAATCCGGAATCTTTCGCTCTAGTGTAAACGGGATATCTCAGTGAAAGTAAATATCTAGTGTAATAGAGTTCATAATAGGTGCAGAAGAGTTCTACGTTAACCAAGGGGCCGGAGCAAAAAATTTGTCTTAAATCTTTATGGAGGGGGGGGGGGTGTAAATAAATGATCAAATAGTAATTTTCCCATTTTCCACACCCTCCCCCTTACCATAAATAATAACCACTCCTTTATAAAAACCGGAAACCGAAAAAACCCCGAAAAAGTCGAGTGAACCGGTTTTAAAACACGCTCAAAAGTACAGCTAAGAATTTAAAATACGCTCAAAAATTAAAAAAAAAACTCTCAAAAATTTAAAACATGCTCAAAAGTACTGTAACAGCTAAAATAAACACGACAGTACACTCTTGGAAGACTTCAGTTTCGAAAACAGTTGCATTATTTGAATATAAACATTGCTGAGTATGAAGTACAAGCTATTTCCTCATGTAAATGCAAGAATTTGCTCCAAATTTGTATCATATTCCGTGTGTGAGTATATGTTTCATTTTATTAAAATACATGTTTATAGTTTTTTGGTTCTCCAAAAACAACATAAGATCGGCCTAATCGCTTTTTCCGGTTTACCGATTAACCGTCCTCCTAGCTATCAATACTGTTTAATTAAGTTCATCGTCTTGTTTTATCCGTTTATATTCATCGGGCTGTTTACGTTGTAGCCATGATGCCTTCGGCGCCTCATTCGTCTTGGTATTCGATCTGGGTGGTTTCCATATGAGAGGCCTCAGTCCGTTCAGGATAACGACAAGGAGTCCAGCCAGGTCTGCAACTACTGCCATCCAGACTTGGACGTAACCCATCACCGCGACCACAACGAAAACAAGCTTGAGTAAGATGGCCAGCACGATGTTCTCGATAATTAGACGACGACAGAATCGACTTAGGCAAATCATTTCAGGCACTTTTAAGACGCTGTTGGTCATAATTGCCACCCCTGCTGCTTCGACTGCCAATGCGGACCCCCCTGCTGCCATAGCAATGCCCACGTCAGCCGTTGCCAAAGCTGGTCCATCGTTGACGCCATCACCGACCATCCCAACCAAAGGAACTTTTTCCTAAAATGCACGAATTCTCAATCTAATTAATAATAGACTATAAGATTACTAACCACCTTTTTGACACTTAAGAGGGGAAACTATCCTCACTTGTACGCTGTAAATGATAGCCGATAATTTTAATTATAAAGCAATCCATTATTTCCCAGCATGTTATATATAGTTAATAATAGAACAGACAAGTGTTCGAGCAGTCATCAAAATCAAATAAACTATTGGGTTACATCAGGAGATCCACAATCTATATCCACAACCAGGAAGTGAGACGCACATTATACCTTGCACTAGTTCGGCCACACCTGGGGTATGCTATCCAAATAATGGCACCACAATCCACCGAACTAATACGCCACCTTGAACGAACGCAAAGAAGAGCAACCAAATACATCCTTAGTCTTCCATTCTCCTCCTCTACTGACTACACCACCAGACTTCAAACTTTAGGACTCTTACTGATCTGCTATTGAAATGAATATCTAGATATGGAACTCCTTTATAAAATAACTCACAAACTAGTAATCATCGAAGCATCATTACATCCAACTATCCGCACTTCCAGATCGACTAGATCCTCCGCCAATAACAGTCCTAAGTTCGTCGTGCCAAAATGCAAAATGGCAACATATCAAAGATTTTTCATGATTCGGGCAACTCGAATATGGAACCATCTCGTTGATGAACTTGATTTGAATACGGATAGTCTTTCGTCATTTAAGTCGGCAATGTTTAACTACTATATTTCCTCTTTGTATACTCGTGTTACAATGTTGAGGATCCTCGTAGTTATAAAACTATATGTCCTCAGTGTAATTCTGTTCGTAGCCTCACAGCGTCATTATTGTGCTGTATATAAGAATTGTTAGTACTGTTCTTTGTTGTTTAATTTTTGTATTGTTGTAATTTATTTATTCGGGCCCGCAGTAATTGGCAAACGCTGTTGCGGATTCCCTGCCACTGTAATATGTACAAGGCGAATTAAATAAATTAATAAATAAATAATTTTAGAGCTTATTAAAGATTTCAAGACTTAACGTAATAACGTTACAAGTATATAAACCTATTAACCCCAGGCTGGTATTTTTGTTGCTTTTGCGCAATGCCTCATTTCATGCCTCTGTTGTCTTAAACCTGATAAGTACTTTGTTGTCGCACCGGTGGTCCTCCACACCGAAAACATTTTTTAATTAAGCTTTAATTTGTCATCTATTTGAGACAAAAATGGTAGATTATGCTCAGCTGACACATGATCAGTAACTTTTACATTTGCCGTTAACGTTAACATACATGTAGTAACTTGGATAGGCCTTCCTGTAGGGTAAAATATAGGGTTTGCGCCAAAAAGGATGTGAGCCAAATAAAATTACTGAGGATCTTAGAAACAGCTTTAATGGACACCTAATACATTGATGTCTTTAACCTAAAATAATACCCAGGTAATGGGATAAGGCCTTCATGTTTTGCCATTTTATAGATATATGAAGAACGGAATTCATATAATGGTTCTCTTGCAATGCATAATGCTGACATATGAACTTGTTATACACTGAGGTGTAGAATTAACTGGATTTCTCGGTTTAGGGTACATTTTTTGTCTTAAAGCAGACTGCATTTTTTCATTTTTCTAAAAATGGCAAATATATTGGAATTTTTTTGTGGCAGCCACCTTAAGACTAGACAAATTCAAAGGTATTAGTGCCACTGAACCAATAGAGAGATTATATATTTCATACATTAAAATTTTTGATGCAAGAAGTCAAGAACCGAGACAAAGGTCCTAAAAATGTGTTAATTACAATCGAACCTTTAGGGACACCTCTCAGAAACACCTCCGAGAGAATATTCTGGACGCTAATTGTCGACCTCAGGGAGCAAGAAAGGTTGATAGCCTCTATGGGCACTCCGAGTATTCACTTACTTAGAGTTTCGTTCCAAAACCGAGATTCACAATAGTACATAGTATGATGCAGTAAAAATGCTGTGCTGAGTGGTTATATTACTACCTTAAAAAAGAAGTTGTTTTTTAAGGCAGTAATATAACCACTCAGCACAGCATTTTCACATTGGTACTACCCACACTGATGGTCCGCATTACAGGAAGGGCTTTTACTTACCTTTTCAAGGGGCAAATAATTTTGAAACAGAAATATAGTTTATTATGTGTATAAGACCATTACAGATGTTGTCCTCCCCCAAAAAAACAAAAATCCCCTAGTGTGACTTGTACAACACGACCACTGGCACTACAGCTACAATCGTATCTTAAAATAAATTTGTCCCCTCTACCTATTGAATCCTACATTTCAAAATTTTCTGGGTGGGCATACACTATGCTACCTCAAGAGATATTCGCGTCAATGGCACAGGAATCTCATACCTTTGGCTCTTGGGCGCTCTCGGAAACTTGTTTAACTTTTGGGTACTACCGTAACATCTCTATATAAAACGACATCCCATAATAATACGAACACTTTGCTCTGTCCCTTCAAGGTCCGTATTGAGAAATGTTTGACTGGATTATTTTCTTACATATACATTGTATTAACTTACCCCTCTACAACAGTGGCGTTTCCTGAGCGTATGTTCCTCTTTAATATTCGTAATCCATTTCAGCTTATCATCCGGCTTCATCTCTGAGACGCACGAGTCGAGTTTGAGTTGCTTTTGTACAGCGGTTGCCGTCTCCTTGGAGTCTCCGGTCAACATAGCCAGATGCACGCCTAAATCTTGAAGCCATCTAAGAGCCAAATGAGACTCCTCGCGTATGATATCAGCCAATGAGATCATTAGTGCCAGTTCCTCGTCAACACAGACGAACACAACGGTTTTGCTTTCGGCGCAGAGTCGATCGTATTCAGTCTCAAATTCAGGGGTTAGCTTCACGTCCAATCTTTCCAACATTGCCGGGTTGCCAATATCGATAAAATGACCCTCGACAACTCCAGATATACCTTGGCCTTCCATCGTTTTGAAGTTGCTGACATCAGGCAGTTGGATCTCTTCGACATCATTCACGAAATCAGCAAC